TTGTGCATGGTGTGAAATGTATGATTGTGCATGAAAACCATGAACTCACCGAGCTTTATAAAGCTGACTATTAGTATGCATCTCAGGAGCTGAGTATTCAAGAACGGAAAAGGGCAAGGGTTCTGCGTAGGAGTTAAAATTTTTATTCGAGTTATGAATTATAGAATTCGTATTAGCTTAACTGAATTTATGTGTAATGTAACCCGATATGGGATGGGTTAATTTTGAGACATTTATTTACGATTAAATTATTATAAGACTTCCGCTGCGATAAGGCTTTATTAGCCGCTAAAATTTGGATTTTATTTTATTTTATTACGTGGCACCTTGTATTTGAAAGGAGGGGTGTTACAAGTTGGTATTAGAGCTATTAGTTTAAGAGAAATAGGTATAAATATATATATATATATATATATATATATGTATGTATGTATGTATGTATGTATGTATATAGCCTAAGCTTAAACTTGTGAGGTGTTTAGTATCACTATATACGTTACAATTAAGTTTGATTTATTAATGTGCGACTTAGTGTTTTCCTTGTGGTTTTGTAGGAAGATGGTGCACACTATTCACACTAGGGCTATTAACCGTGGGAGAGGACGTGGGCGCAGAACTGTAGGACGGAGGGTACCATTCGGGCTAGGCCCGCATTGTGAAAGCATTGATAGTCGTCACACCAGTGTGACTCCTAGTTGGAACCGCATACCCAGGGGTGACAGTCCAACATCCCTAAGGAGTAACCCAACTCAGGGTTCGTTTCAAGGGACACCTGTGATAGCGCAGCCTGCCACGTGCCCCAATTTGGAAGAAATGATAGAATCCCTGCAAAGAGAGAAAGCTGAGTTGTGGAATAAGTTGGCCTACCTCGAGTGGGACAATGATAGGTCTAGGGGAATGCTCGACAACCTACAAATTCAAACCATCGTTGACCTATGAACAGTGGATTAGAGATCCCTACCTTCCCGAGATGCCTTAGAGATATGGATAGCCATAAAGAGAAAATTTTTTTTATTTGAATTGATGTTTAGCTTGGGATGTTTTTGCTAGTTAATACTTTGATGACGATTTTGTAATCCCGAATTTTGATAGCTATAGTAGACTTATGTATTGATTGTCTCTCTTTTTGAATCCGTAATATGAATAATAAATTATGGCTTTATGGTTTGAAGTGGTCGTAGTCGTTTCTTTCTTTTTCTTTTCTCAGTGGTTGCATGTATTTAGTAATTAGATTTTAATATCACGCTGCTATATTCAGTATGGTATCACGTGGATCTACAAGAAATGCCACTATCGGGGAGGGAGTTGGAAATCAACCACCACCAACAGGAAGAGGTCGCGATCGCGGTCGAGGTCGTGGCATTGGTCGCGGTAACACTGCAAGCTCAAGTGAAACTTTTTCTGTGGATGCAAGCTCAGCCACTCGTAGGGTACGAGAGCAAAATCAAGGAATTGGAAGAGGAGAAAACGACGTTACCGATGAGGCACTAACTGAAAGGATGACACGAGTCCTCCAAAATACCCTTCCAAGCATGCTAAAAGCCATATTAGGTGATAGGTTCAAAGGCCCCGAAGAGGAAGAGGAAGCAAGCAGCTAGAAAGGGAAGACAATGAATAACTCCCAACCCACTGAAAAAATGGAGTCGTCCGTCCAAGGAAAAGATGAGCCACCAGTGCAACTGAGAGTGGAATCCCAAACCAAGGAACGGGGTTGCAGTTACAAGACTTTTAGTAGCACCCGTCCTAAGGAATTCAGAGGTATTGAGGGCCCGGTAGCCCTAATGAACTGGGTGACTAAAATACAAAGCTGTTTTAAGATTTGTAAGTGTTCAGAAGAACAAAAAGTGATTTACGCTGCTACTACCTTTGGAGATTCAGCASTTCATTGGTGGGAGACTGAATGCGCCATTCGAGGGGATGAAAACATCGCCACCCTGACCTGGGAGGAAATGAAGAAGATGTTGATGGATAAATATTGTACACAGACAGAGGTGAAGAAGTTAGAGTCAGAATTCCTGAGGTTGGAGCAAGGATCTTTGTCGGTTCAAGAGTACGTGAACAAATTTCTTGAAAAGGCTAGATTTGCTAGTTATCAGGTGGCAACTGAGCAAAGAAAAATAGATCGATTTAAAGATGGCCTAAGGATAGAGATAAAGCAGTACGTGGATATGGTTAAATCAACCATGTTTGTTCAAGCTGTGGAAATGGCGACTGTTGCGGAGGAAAATAACATCAAGGCAACTAGGAGAGAAGGGAGGTCAAAAGGAAACGGGAAGCATCAAGTAAATTGACAAAGAAATCCAAGGGGGAGATGACAGATACGAAGGCACGAAATGGAGAGTTCACAATTCCTCAGTGCACCAAATGCAATCGAAGACATAGGGRTGAATGTTGGGCAGCAAAAGTGACGTGTTTTCGATGCAGAAAACCCGGGCACACATCAAGGGAGTGTACTGAAAGCAAACTTTGCTATGATTGTGGGGCATCAGGTCATATACGGTCTGAATGTCCTAAAAACCAAAAGGGGACCATAAGCAATGTTGGAGTTTCAAGTAACGGGTCAGGAAGAGGGGCGAAGAAGAGGAAGGAACTACCTAAGGGACCAGGACGAGCATACAACATGACTTTGGAGGAGGCTAGGGAGTCTCCTGACGTCGTATCAGGTATGTTTCTTGTAAACAATGTTTATGCTCATGTACTGTTTGATTCGGGTGCAAATGGTAGTTTCGTGTCTTCTACTTTTCGCCACTATTTGAATAAGGATGCTTGTAGGCTAGGGAAGAGCTATACTGTAGAAACCGCTAATGGCAGTCAAGTTAAAATAGATGAAGTAGTTTATGGGTGCACGATCTGTATAGATGGTAGAGAATTGCCTGTTAGGTTAATGCCTATGTGTTTAGGAGGTTTTGATGTGGTTCTAGGAATGGACTGGTTATCCGAAAACCAAGCACAAATAGTGTGCCACCAAAAGATGATCAAAATTCAAACCCCCGAAGGGCAAACAATTCATGTGTATGGCGATCGTAGGAAGTGTGGTACGAGGATCATCACAACACTAAAAGCGAGAAAGTGCCTTCAGAAAGGGTGCACTGCTTATCTAGCGTATGCGGTCGATGCTAGGTTAGATAAGGGAACGGTACAAGGGGTACCAGTGGTAAACGAGTATCCAGAAGTTTTCCCGGATGAACTACCAGGACTACCACCAGAACGTCAAGTTGATGAAACAACTTCAGGAGTTGTTAGACAAAGGGTTCATCAGACCAAGTTCATCGCCATGGGGARCACCAATCCTATTTGTAAAGAAGAAAGATGGCTCAATGCGAAAGTGCATTGATTATCGCGAGCTTAATAAGCTCACGATCAAGAATAGATACCCGTTGCCAAGGATTGATGACTTATTTGATCAGTTACAAGGAGCTAGCCACTTCTCGAAGATTGATTTAAGATCAGGTTACCACCAGTTGAAAGTCCGAGAAGAAGATGTGCCAAAAACTGCTTTTAGAACTCGATATGGTCATTACGAGTTTATAGTAATGCCCTTTGGACTGA